GACTTGGATTGTGGCTTTAGCTAGTCTATCGTCAAGAAGACTTTGACTCGGAGACTAACGAATTGAGTGCTTCTTTAGCCTCAGATGGTTTCAGAGTTGAAAGCTCTCGCATTACAGGAGCATACTAGCAGGCCTCAGGAACACAGTGCCTCTCAGCTCGCCCCGGAATAGATTCCAAAGTCATCTCATTGCTGTACAGACCCTAAACTCCTGAACCCTATAAACTTCTAAACCCGGGCAGGCCTTTGCATCTAATGTAGTAGCAAAGCAACCTCGCTTCTGAGCATCGTACTCAGCCGTGCGAGAGGGGAAGAAACCGAAACCCTAAACCCTAAACCCTGCAATGCGGGCTTGTCCTTGCTAAGTAGGAGGCAAAAAAAACCCTAAACCGTGCAGGTCCGCAGCCCGATGCCTTGGAAGGTATCGAAGTCCCGACGAACGCGTTCTGTGCTCCGAGCTTGCCACAGGCGAGGCCAAGAAGTTGCCATGGACACAGCGGTTTAGGGTTTAGGGTTTAGGGATTAGAAGATGTGGGAGTTTCCGGAAACAAGGGGTACCTTATTTTGGGGTCCTCATAATGAGGATCCTATTATTTAGGGTACTATATTGGGATCCCCTGTTTTCGGAAACCGTCATGTGTCAGTATTGCTACTCTTATCGGATCTTGTTGGTATAATTTTGATGCGGTTTATCCTTCCCAAGGTTGTGGGCATTGTCATGGTTATTGATCATGAAGCTAGTGCTATGAGTATGACATGCTATGCATTCTGCTTCTCAGCTAGCCTCCAACTTCATGTCTGGTCTGCGGAAGACTCAACAGATCTCAGCTGTCTTGTTCCTCCAGGTCGAGGTCCTACGCAGAGCGAAGGCAGCCCTCTTCGTCACACATGCCGGTGGTGCCCCCAGATGGGTTTTGAGGGGTGCCCGAGGGTACTGGAAGGGGTTTTGGGTTTGGGCTTGGGGCTTTGCCAGTGCAAAACGAAACAGACACAACAGCGAGGAACCACCATGAGCCCCAAGCAACGGTGAAAATAAGATCGGCTTCATCACGTCCACCTTCCTTCAACCCTAAACCCTAATGCCGTTTTTTCCCTACTGTCTGATCACCCAAAGAAAAATGGCATGTGGGCCTAGATCTCAGCCGTGCAAGAGGGAAAGCAACCCAAACCCTCAAGGCCAGAACTCCTTCATGGAGTCCCTCTCGGCTTCTTGGCAAGAGCCCAGAGGCTTTTCATGATGTTCGGGCAGAAACACGCGGGAGTTCGTCCCACAACCCCAGGAGACCGGAAAGCCGAGTAAATTCTGGGATCCTTTTCTTGGTAGGGACACCAGAATTAAGGTACCCAACTCACTTTGCGAACCCCCGCCCCCCTATGTGGGTAGTTTCTCTAAATTAGGGTCCCTTTTGGGGTCCTTTTTTGTTAAGGGTGCCTTAACCCTGATTTAGAGAACTACCCATATGGAGGCCGCAGCTCGAAACCCTAAACCCTAAACTCTCGAAACACCATAAAAAGACCAGGTCGGGACTCCTGTGCTCTGCTGCCCTGGGTTTGGCGACCAGCTTGCCACAGCTGCGAAGGCAGCGATCAGAGCTCACCTCTTAGAAGCAGTCTTGGCTTTTGTTAGAGGCACTCTTTGGGTTTGCCTTTCATGTTTATGGCTGCTCTTGCCAATGGTTCACCGAAGTTGCTGATGTTATCATGCCCACTCTCCTTCTTCTGTCTGCTTGGTTGTACCTGTAGTCTCCATTGTAGTTCCTTTTCGGGGATACCTTATAAGATCCTGTATATATAACTGGTTAAACCAAAAAAAGGAACTACAATGGAGACTATAGGTAGTATTCATGCGGAATCCTGTGCAGGCAGAGCGCATAGGGCTGGGTCTCAAAGTGGATCGGCCGCCGAAGCAGGAGGGAGCTTCTGGCGAGGTGCGCTTGCGGCACCGGTGTTGAGCTTCCTTGTGCCAGCCTTGTTGTGCACATTTGTTGGATCTTGGGCCGTGTGACTGAACAGATGTGCTTTGGCAAGGCCCTCGCGGGCTACGAAGCAGCCATTGTGCGAAACCTACATCGAATGCTGGGATCGGAACGGCCGAATTTTACAAGGGCGGCCCAGCTGGCAGCGAAGGAACTGGCTGCGGCAGGTGGTGTGGAGAAAGCTCTCCAGACGTGCCTCAGGGCGGCGGAGGTTGGCAAAGCATGATCCCTGAAGAGGGGCTTGAGCAGTCACCGATCTCGGTTTCAATGCGGCGCCTTCAAAATTTATGGAAAAGGCTGCGATGCAGAGATTCAGTGCACATGTCGTAGTGTTTTGCCCCAATTCGGCTACCCAGACATCATGCGTCCGACCCGCCTTGACTTCTCAAGGGCTCCAGCCGCCCCTCGCTTCTCCGACTCCACGCCACGCCCCGCAGCGACACCTTGAGATCCAAAATGGCGATGAAATACCTCGGCGCCTATTTGATGGCGGTCCTTGGCGGGAAGGAGGCTCCAGATGCCAAGGACTCTCGGGTTCCGGTCCCAGGTCGTAAAGCGCTTCGGTTTCTTGCGCCCGGCGCAGGACATCAAGACCATCTTGGAAGCGGGTGGTATCAGTCGCCTGCTGAAAGCTCCTGGCAGACGTCTCTGGCATAAATCCGTCTGCCCTCAATCCCAGGCTACGAGGATGAGCTGATTGATGAGGCTTGCAAGCGGATGGAGGGCAAGCAGGCACGGTGAGCAGCATCGCGCATCATCGGGAACTTCGAGCTACTAGACCCTGCAAGCCAAGACACCTAAACTCAAAAACCGCACCCGGAAAACCCTGCAACAGAGGCAGCAGACGTACGGCCCCACAAGCATCCATCTCCTGCTCCAGGTTCATGAGCTCATCTCGGCGGGTTTTGGTAAGTTCGCTGCCTGTGGGGGTGGGGGAGTCTTGGTTGAAATCTGCGAAGCGCACGTTTACGCTAGTCGTCCTAGCGTGCTCATGCTCGGTTTTGCATACAGATGTATTTGTTTATCCGCTGTTCGTCTTCTTGTACTGCTGCCGATATTTTTTCTTGTTATTTTCATTATTTTAGATTTCTTCTTCTTCTTCTCATTAGTTATCTCTGGAGCAAAGGTGGCGGTGGGACGGCCGCAGCTGCTCCTGCGGCCTCGGGAGAAGCCACAGGTGCAGTGAAGGCAATGCTGGGGATTTTGGGATTGCGGTCCTTTGGTTAAGGAACACTTTTCTTCCAGGTAAACCCTAAGGCATTGGATTATAAACACCCGTAGCCGATAGACGTTTGATACTCAATCATACACCGTCTAAAACGGGCAGATGGTCAAACAGGTGTAAATCAGTCTTTGCTGCCTAAAAATCGACTTGTCCTGTTCGCATGAGGACCAAGGACCAACACGATCGCGATTATAGGGTTTAGGGTTTAGGGTTTAGGGTTTAGGGTTTAGATGCTTCGCTGAGTCAAGCACCAGCAGCCGAATCTACCGTTAAATCTATGCCGAAAATACGCGTACAGCCTTACAGATTATCGGGATTCCCAACCAGTTAGCTTCCTGGCTTCCTTTCCTTACTGCTGCTGCTGGATTCATAACTTTAGAGGCCCAAAAAGCAGAGATTCCAAAGCCCTAAAGGGTTGTTTGGGTTCAGCTTGAGCGATGCGGGATCCAAACCCCCGCGAGAGCAGGAGGAGAAGAAGAAGGTCGAAGAAGAGGAGGAAGAGGACCCCTGCCAAGGGCTCTGTGGTCCAAATAGCATCCACTTCTTGCCGCCTGCTGTTGCGAGAACTCGGGGAGGTCCTCCTGCATTCAGAAAGCCAGAATGACTCCGTGCGGCTAACATACCACTTAGATGTAGATATTTGCCAGAATCTCTGTTCCTCTTCGTCCTATCCGAATTGTTGCGGTTGAAGGATGTGTCGGGAGCTTTTCTTTTGGCCGGAGGAGGAGATGGACTTCGACCTTTTTGGGTGAGGGGCGTAGCCTTCCTGGAGCCTGGGCCGGCGGGAAAGCGACTGCTTCGGTTGTGGAGCTTACGGTGCCGAGGGTATAACCCTGAACCCTAAACCCACCCTATGCCCTAAACCCTAAACCCTAAGCCCACCCTAAACCCCAAACCCCAAGCCCTGGGAGCCCCTGCCGCTTCCTGCATGACGACGGAGCTGTTGTAGAAACTGAGGGAGTGGGCGCCATGCATCACTACTTCAAGCTTCAAGCGACGTGCAGGATCGCAAGAGAGCCGACCTCCCGAACACAATTAAAAAGAGACTAAAGACTGCAAGAGGGGATCGGGCATGACATATGCAGATATTAGTGTTCATTACAGTAGTCGCCTGTGAAGAAGCACCATCGGTTTCGACCGACTTCCCTAGCTTGCTGCGGCCCGGTTGGTGGTGCATATTCGCATGTCCGGTGTGGATGGATGCCGGGTGAACCGCTTGAACTTCTAGAAGCTAGCCCATGTTACATATGGGGGTTTCCCAAAATAGGGGACCCTGCTATAGTACCCTAAATAATAGGATCCTTATTATAAGGACCCGGAAATAAGGTACCCCTAATTTTCGGAAACCCCCATATGTATACCAACTGATGGGTGTCCGTGTCCCATGGCATGGCGCTTATGCCTGGCACGCCAAGCAAGCAGGCGCACAGCTGCGTTTGGTGCTCCACAACTGCTCTTGCCGCGAGTGCCGGTTGGGGAGCTACTACCGTTCAGTTAAATGAGCTGTTACGGCACCACAGGAGGCTGATCCAGCAGCGGTCCTAGCGCAATCGCCGTTTGTAGGAATCGTACTGATGGTCGTCGTCATTCTGGTCATGGTAGCTGCAAGCGACCGTCGCTATACTGATCATAGCCAGTACCATTACCTAGTTTCTTCAATTAGTTCATGCTTCGATTGATACCCAACAGACGCAGCTTCGAGCTGATGCGAGGCAGGCTGGGCCATCTATACAGGCACGCTGGAACTTCCGTTACTTTCTCTGCTTTGGTGAACTACAGAACACAGAAGCCTTCGTCCTGATGCGTGCAGTCGTCGCATTGGCTGTGGTGGCTGCTGCCGCCATAGCCTTCCGTCTTTTGCCAGAGAGCGGTGGCCGCTTGGGCGTCACCATGCGGGAGCCAAGCCTGCCTTGTGTTCACAGAGCGTCGCTGAGGCAAGGTTCAGCCGACGCGGCAGTTTGAGCCGGCTGTACATGAGAAGCCGCCAGCGAGCCAGCCGCTGCCGCTGTTGGAGCCCGCGGCCTATACCTTTCGAAAGTGTTGGAGCAGCAAACTCCCACTTTGTCACTTTCTCTCAGGCCTTCCAAGGCACTGCAGCAGCGTGCCGTTCCCGAGGGTGGCGAGTGGCGGGCGTTGAGCTTGGCAGATCTGCGGAGTGAGCTCTTAAAGGATGCTAGACGAGAAGTGAACGAGGTTGTCTCGCAGTTTCCACGGATCTACGTGCCGTCCAGCCAGTTTCGAAACGTAGTACCCCTTGAAGCCACCCAAAGCGACCGTCCTGTAGGTACAAGATGGTTTCCTCAGCGAGCCAGAATGCGAGATCTTGAAGCAGCAGGTGGGGCGAGAGTGTTTCCATCAAGCTCCGAGCCCGGTGCTTTGATGCTCTGGCAGGTTCTAGACTCTTATACACTTAATTATTTTATTGCGTTCACACAAAGCGTTGACTCTAAGGTGCCATGTCCCATTCGCACGAATGACAAACAGAGGCGTTAATTTGGAAATTCTTTGCCCCATTCACAGGTCCTAGAAGCAACCCTGCTTTGCAGACCCAGTCAGGCAATGCAGGAAGCAAAAAGCTCGCTAAACTCTTGCTGCTCTGCGTTTCTTCTGCCTAGTCGGACTTGTACCGAAGCCTTGCCTGCTGAATGCGAGGTTGAGTGACGTATTCCTCAGAACACCGATATGGGAGTTTCCGAAAATTAGGGTACCTTACTTTGGGGTCCTTATAATAAGGATCCTAGTATTTAGAATACTATAGTAGGGTCCCCTAATTTCGGAAACCCCCATATAGCAGCCCTGAGAGTACAGGAGGGACTGTCATAGGGCCTGGGTTTTTGCAAACCCATTTCTGCGCGTTTCTACACGTCGTTGTTCGCACATGGGTTGTTACGTGTTTCATGGTGGTGGTGATGATGATGGTGATGATGATGAGGACGATGATGATTGCGGTTTTGACAGGGTTCTCGCGGTTCCATTCGTTTCGGTTAGGTTCGCGTAAACCGGTTGGAACCGGTTGAGCGGTTCATGCGGTTCG